GCCAGCCGGGTGTGTGCGGGCCCCCCCAGCCACTATTTGGGGGTGCTCTGATCCATCAGTTGGGGTGTCCTGTCCATTGGTGGGGTGTCCCAGCCATCAGTTGAGTGCTCAAGCCATCATTTAGGTGCCCCAGCCATTAACGACGTGGCTGGACCATCATCTAGGGGTGCCCAAACCATCATTCAGGGTGCTTGGGCCATCAGTTGCCATGTCTTGGCCATTATTTGGGGTGCCTGGGTCATCGTTCCAGATAGGTCATCATCTGGGGCTCCCTGACCACCAGTTGGGCTGCCTGGGCCATTGGTCGGGATGCCCGGGCCATTGGTCGGGATGCCCAAGCCATTGGTTGGGTATCCCAGCCATCAATGGGGTACCCTTGGCCATCTTTTGGGGTGTCCTGACCAGGTTGAGTGTCCCAGTCATCATTCGGGGCACCCTGGCCATCAGTTGGGTGCCCAAGCCATCTATCAGGTGTCCTGGGCCATCAGTTGGCATGTCCTACCCATCAGCTGGGGTGCCCCAGGCCATCATTTGGGGTTCCCAGGCCACTGACGTGCTGCTCTCCTCGCAGGACGTGGGGTACCAGCACGGCAAGGTGGTCTTTGACGGCTGGAGCCGGGGTGACATCATTGAGAAGATGGTGAAGGACCGGCGCTCGGCCGACTTCTACGAGAGCAAACGCATGGACGTGAGTAGGGGCTGGCGCCGGAGCTCGTGGCTGATGGTGGCTGCCTGGGGACCACCTGCCCTTGGTCCATCTTCTGTCCCTCACTGGCATCCTCCTGTTGTCTTCTTGGTCCACCTTCTGTCCCCTTGGTGCATCTCCTGTCCCCCAGAGCACCCTTATCCCCTCCTTGGTCCGTCTTCTGGCCCCTCCTTGGTCCCTCCTGTCCCCTTGGTCCATCTCCTGTCCCCTCCTTGGTCCATCTCCTCTTGGTCCTTCTTGTGTCCCCTCCCTGATCCATCTTCTGTTCCCTCCTTGGTCCATCTCCTGTCCCTTTGGTCCTTCTCCTGTCTCCTTGTTCCATCCCATCCCCTTGGTCCTTCTCCTGTCCCCTCCCTGGTCCTTCTCCTGTCCCCTCCTTGGTCCATCTCCTGTCCCCTTGGTCCATCCCATCTCCTTGGTCCATCTTCTCTTGGTCCTTCTCCTGTCTCCTTGATCCCTCCTGTCCCCTTGGTCCTTCTCCTGTCCCCTCCTTGGTCCTTCTCCTGTCCCTTTGGTCCATCTCCTGTCTCCTTAGTCTATCCCAACCCCTTGGTCCTTCTCCTGTCCCCTCATTGGTCCATC